ATTACAACACCATGTTGTGTACCTATATTTGTTGGTTTCCGTATTTTAATAACCCTGATATGTTAAGAATCACTAACTACTGAAAAACATAACCCTGATGGTTATGTTTTTCAGTAATTAGTGATTCTTATCGGATCTTATCTTATCTTATTGAAATTTGAGTAATCGTTTTTGTTAGCACTAATTTGTGGTGAAACAATTTTAGATTGTTGTTATAATAAATATGTAGAGCAACACGGGCAACCAGCGGATCGCAGGGGAGTAGCGTTCCTCTATGTCAAAGTATATATCCACGCGGTATTACAATAAAACTAGTTGCAGTTGCACTGCCGACAAGACGTCTGAATCGACATCCTACAACAACGCCAAATTGTTCAGTATTTTGCTGCAAAAAAAGTTCTGCCAAGTCAAGTTTACAAAAATATTTGCGTTACCTTTCATATATAAGTAATTTTTAATGACATTATTGTATTTACTTTCTTTTTAATTAAAAGTTACAATAATAATGGTCGTGTTGTTTCCGATTTGTTTATCAACACAGGCTGCTCGCCCTCATACAATATGCAGATCGGTCGAGCGACTGAACTGACTCTGTATTCTAGTCGTCGCTGTCACCGAGCGATACTGTTATAATGTATACGTGTGTGTGTGTGTGTGTGTATGAAATTGTTACTTTATTGTTTTGTTATATTATTATGTGTATTTCGTAGTGACAGGCGATTGTTTTTGTATAAGCAGATTTTCCTCCGCAAAAAATGACAGACAATTCTGTATCGGGAAAAAACGCTATGACTACTCTCCTCCGGTCCGCCGCGCCGGTGGCCCGTGTTGCTCTATGAATCAAATATGAGCATAATTTAAAAGGCGTTGTTCAGATTACATATTTTTTTTAGTTTTATTCGAATATTTGTAAATAATTTTTGACTAGTAATCGTTCGCGATAATTTCGAAATAAATAATTTTTTTTTTTTTTTATAGGATCGGGTGACAAACGAGCACGCAGTCCACCTGATGGTAAGTGGTTACTGTGACCCATAGACATCTACATCTATCCTCAATAAAGACTCAAGATGCAGATGCGTTGTCACCCGTGAGGACTAAGATGGAATGCCTCTTTGCCAGTAAAAAGGGTCTCCGGTTCTCTACACTCACCATACGAAACACAGCAGCGTTAAGCTGCTATTTTACGCTGGTTTTCTGTGAGAGCGTGGTCCTTCCCCGGTCGAGCCGACCCATTCGTGCTACAACCATAATATAGCTGCAGCATGGCTCTACCACGTATAAGAAAAAAAAAGATAATAGTTTTATCGACCCATATGATCTGAAAATACTTTATAATCATGAAAGCTCTGTGTACATGTATATAATTTACAGTGTCTGTAACAGAACGAGTATTCTTAACTTCAGAGCTTTCTCATCAGTTTTTATGTGGTAGAGCCACACTGCAGCTATATTATGGTTGTAGCACGAATGAGTCGGCTCGACCGGGAATACCAGCGTAAAATAACAACTCAATGCTGCTGTGTTTAGTATGGTGAGCGTAAAGAACCGGAGACTCTTTTTACTGAAAACGAGGTATTTCATCTTAGTCCTCAGAGGTGGCAACGCATCTACATTTTAATCCTTAATCGAGGATAGATGTAGATGTCTGTGGGCCACAGCATCCACTTACCATCGGGTGGGCTATGTGATTGTTTGTCACCCTTATTCTTAAAAAAAGTCCTCGTGCATTTGTTAAATGTCACCAGATCGTGTCATTAAAGGTGGGAGCCAAACCACCGCCGGAAATTTTTAGTACTCCTATTCTATGTAACAAAATGTTGCACATCATCTGGCTTATTTTTCTTCTGTCGTTGCTTACGATACCCACGGGAACATATATGGGATAGTGGATTCTTTTATGCCGCCACTACACTGATGATGTATTAATATTAGAAAATTGGACGTGTTTGAGCCATGCTTTTTTATACGTGGTAGAGCCATGCTGCAGCTATATTAGTAGTACAGTTGTAGCACGAATGAGTCGGTTCGATCGGGGAAGGACCACGCTCTCACAGAACACCAGCGTAAAATAGCAGCTTAACACTGTTTTATTTCGTATGGTGAGTGTAGACAACCGTAGACCCTTTTTACTGGAAAAGAGACATTCCATCTTAGTTCTTACGGGTGACAACATATCTGCATTTTGATTCCTAATTGAGGATATGTGGAGATAATTATGGGCTTATGTATCCAATTTATTAAGTATTTACCATATTAAATATAAAGAAAAAAAAAGCTCGGAAAACATTGGGATGTTTAAAAACATATGAAGCATATCCAGAAGTTATTTGTCTTGATTATGATTTGTGATGTGCCAATTATTTTAAACGATACGATGGCGTAGTCTAGTTGCCAGTAACTGGGTCATATTTAACTGGCTCTGGGTTGGAATAGTAATCGCAATCTACGTTTGTGTAAACATAAATAGTTGGTTTTCGGGCGTGTTTGTACATTGATTATCTCCGTATTAAGACTGTATTCTGCTTCACTGATCACGCACAGCACGGTTTGATTAAGGCCAATGAGTGTCTCCTTGTTATCACGTTCGCTTAGGGCACGTTCCGACGACAAGCACCCGCTACGCGCACGCCACGCATACGCCACGCGTGTCAGCACCCGCGTCTAACTCGCTTTGAAATTTGTTGCATATAATTTGAGTCTTATGACAAATCAAAAAATCTGAAATTGCATTTATCGATGTTCAACCGCACACGCCTAGCATACGCCTCGCGCCCGCCTCGCTCCCGCTCCGCGCCGGCCCCGCGCGGGTCCCGCGCTCGCCCCGCACATGCTCTGCACCCGCCCCGCTACGCCATATGCCCGCGCTTTTCATACAATTTCAGATTTATTGATTTGTCATAAGACTCAAATTATATGCAACAAATTTCAAAGCGCGTTAGACGCGGGTGCTGACACGCGTGGCGTACGCGTGGCGTGCGTGTAGCGGGTGCGTGTCGTCGGAACGCGGCCTTATGACACTATAATAACCGAAACAGAAACAGAAACTTTTTTATTCAATATAGATTATAAATAATACTTATTGAAAGTCACTCTTTTGTTTAATTACGTCTGGTTAGAAAAAAACACTCTGTCCTGGGAAGAACCAGCAAGAAACCCAGCGGGACTTTTTTTTAAAATAACAGCTTACAATAATGTATGTTACACAAATTAACAACACAACAAATTAGAAATAGCTTGGTAGCGATCACCTCATTTCCAGGGGTTATTATCATCCATAAATTCTTTAATATTATAATAATCCTTTTTATACAAACATAGTTTAATAAAGTTTTTAAACTTTGAGCAGGTCAAATTTTGTATATTTTCTGGAATTTTGTTGTAAAAGCGTATACATCGCCCCACGAATGAATTACTGACTCGATGGAGTCGAGTAACTGGTATTATTAGCTTGTGTCTGTTCCTAGTATTTACAGAATGAATATAACTTATTTTTGTAAAACTACTTTTATTTTTATGTACGTACATTACATTTTCATAAATGTATTGAGAGGCCAAAGTTAATATATTAATTTCCTTAAATTTTGTCGCAGCGACTCTTTAGACTTTAAATCATAAATTGTTCTTATGGCCCTCTTCTGTAAAACAAATATAATTTCAGTGTCAGCTGCGTGTCCCCATAGCGAAATACCATACGACATTATGCTATGGAAATAGCTAAAGTAAACTAGTCTAGCTGTTTCAACACTAGTTAGACTTCTAATCTTTTTTACGGCATATGCTGCAGAACTCAGTTTGCTTGCTAGTTTGATATATGGGGACTCTATTGAAGCTTCGCGTCTAGTGTGATTCCAAGAAAAATGGTGGTATCTTCAAGACTCAGTTTCTCGCCATTTAAAATTACATTAGTATTTAATTGTTTAACATTTGGAGTCATGAATTTCATACATTTGGTTTTAGTGCCATTTAAATGCAAATTATTAACATTGAACCAATTTACTAATTTAGATATAGCATTATTTACTTCGTCATATTTTAGCAATTGTGGACTTAATTTGAAAATTAAAGAAGTGTCATCTGCAAATAATACTATATCGTGGTTATACCCTACAATAAATTATAATGGTACAAGAACAGAAGAATCACTCTCTGATAGAAAACTTGCGAGTTTAAACCTAGTTATAACATCGCTAATGTTCAAAGTACTTCGCAGGCCTCTAAAAATTTATTAAATTAACGATTGCCTTAAATCTAAATAATACCACATACGAGTAAATAGATCTTACCCAGGTGAAGCCGCGGCGGGTCTCTAGTAACAAGTATAATAATTGTTTTGTACTTCAAGTGTTAAAGCAATGTAAGATTTTCTTTTGAAACGTTATATTTTAATAACAATGTATCATTTTGTAACCTGAAATAGCATTCTTCATGGAAAATTTAAAATATTATAGACGACGTAAAAGTTTTAAGTGATATTGTTTGTTATTTTCTTATCTTATTTTACTTTAATAATTTAATGTAAAAGTGTGATTTGAATGTTGTATCTTCCGTCACGATTAAACGACTGGTCGGATTCTAATGAAATCGTGGAATAGAGTATCGAGGGTTTACTGGTAAAACATGCAAGTTTTTGTAAAAATGAGTTAAAATTATATTTCAATATTGATATGACTATTATTTAAGGAGTTATTAATATTTTTATAACGGTTATTACTGAATTCTAATTTAAGCCCACCGAAACGGTAGGGTCACAGCTAACCTAGTCTAGCCTATTAAAACTAAGCCAGTATTTTATTGCATATTATTTTATAACATTAAATTGTTATTGTAATAGTATTTCCTATTTTGTTTTAGGTACGATTCTAGTCGATTGGGGCATACGCTTACATCCTTTGGAAATTATCATAATTATAATCAACATTCCTAAGACGCGCCAGAAGACACCAAGATGTACGCGCGGTCGAAGAGATAAGAAGTATAGAAAGGACAAAAGTCCCAATATGTTTTCCCTCGCTGAAGGCTGTGGATGTGTCAGTTTTCGCGGTGGGAATCGAACACGGTCATTCGGAGACGACTCTTCTTCGTGCCGTAGTTCGGAAATTGAGCAAGAAGTTCCAAAAAAAATAGGGAAGAGGGTGTTGAACGGCGAATGCACAATGAAGGCTCTCGCACCATTCCTGAAGTTTTGGAAGAAAAACGACGTCAGCATGAGTAAAGCCGAAAGAAGTAAGTAAAAGGAGGAACAGAAAACATTTGATATACTGATCAATATTTTTAATAAACGATGTATCATAATTATATTGTATTGAACAAAAAAGCACTGAAAAAATCGATTTACATTCTTTTTATAAAACTGAAGTTTACAAACGAACCTACAGTCCACCTGATGTTAAGTGACTACTGCATTACATGAACACCTGCGGCCAACTTGATAAAGAAGGTTACAGATACGTTGTCACGTCTAAAGACTAAGATGAAATGCCTCAATGCCTGTAAATATATAGTGCTAGCACTGATATTTAGCGGCAAAAATAGGCAAGAGGATGTTACCTACCCAAACGAACTCCTGGCATAAAAAGAGTCCTAACAATTATATATTATATATTATTAGCTTTATTGGCGCGGACCGGTTGCGGTCGAACAAGTAACTTGAATTGAATTAAGCATCTACTGCTTCCATTTTATATAACTTATCTATACAAATAAATAAAATTGAAGTGTCTGTTTGTAATGTCAAAATAACAGCTTTTTACCAAATGCATATGAAAATATAAAAGGAAAAAAAAACTTATAACAAAAAAACAATTTTTTGTCTGTCTGTCTGTCTGTTTGTTCCAGCTAATCTCCGAAACGGCTGGACTGATTTTGACAGGGCTATCACTAACAGATAGCTGATTTTATAAGGAGTAACAAGGGCTATTTTAATTTCAAAAAAAGAATTAGGGTTCCACGCAAAAAAATGAAATCCAATCGTAATAAATTTCATACGGGCGAAGTCGCGGGGAACAGCTAGTACTAAATATGAAATGCACCTGCATATCTAGCGGTAATCAATTGATTAATTTGATTACTTAACTACCTATACCATCCGAAATCAGCCAGGCCAGCGATATCATCGGCATTCTTTCAAGGTATGTTTAATAAGGCTGGCCCTAGTTGACTATGAGAAAGCCTTTGACTCCATCGAAACTTGGGTTGTTATAAATTCCTGGCAGCATTGCCGAATTAACTGGTACGATACATAGATGTATTGGAAGATGTTTTAGAGGCTAAACTGGAGTGGATGCGGCGTCAATATAAACGGCAAACACATTTTGCACTTACGCTTTGTCGATGACGATGTGAAATCTGAGAGGACTACAAGACATGTTGGGCAGCTTAAACGAATCCTCCCAACGTATCGGACTGCGTATGAATTTAAATAAGACGAAAGTCATGTTTATCAGTCACGTAGTACCAGATTCAATTATCGTTGATGGTGAAATTCTTAAACATTTTAATAGTCTATCTACCACGGCCAGATGGGGCAGTTAGATAGAAACAACTTCTAGCAAGAAGTCTATAAGCAGATTTAGTTGGGCTGGGCATCGTTTGGGAAGCTTCATCAAGCCTTCTCTCACCCATACCGCAAAGCTTTAAAACGAAAGTCTTCGACCAGTGCGCCTTGCCTGTACTCACATATGGTGTCAAAACGTGGACACTAACCGTGCGACTACTCCACAAACTCAATTTACGCAGCGGGCGATGGAAAGAACTGAGTTTGGAGTTTCTTTGTTGGATAAAATTCGCAACAAAGAAATCCGCCGGATAATCAAGGTCACCGACGTATCCTTCCGTATTTGCAGACTAACGTGGCAATGGGCTGGTCACATTTGTCGCAGAAGCGATAACCGTTGAACTAGGCGTGTCAAAGAGTAGAGACCGCGTTTAGGTAAACGTCACACTACGTTTACCTAAGTACTCCGATGTCCCCTGGCTAGATGGAGCAACGCAATCTGCGCAAGAAGGCTAGGTAGTCATTTTGAAATTTGGTAGAGTATCGTCTTCATTAATATCTGAAAGCATGTGTTTCTTTTGCGTATGGCAGATTTATTAAAATCATCAATTTTGTCACTAAACGTTGATCTAGGTTTGGTGGTGACAGGAGAAGAAATTTCGCCGTGTTCTTTATAGTCCTTGAGGATTCTATATAGAGATGTAACACAGATACTGAAAATACTAGCTGCTTTCTGTGCATATCTTTTCTGTATGGGTATTTATCATTAGGCCAAGTTTTTTTAACATATTTGTAGGTATTAATAACCATATTTTTTCATTCACAGTAAAAATAGTCACATAAAATTAAAAATTAAATTAAAATGATATACATAATTTACTTACATGCATCTTTAATAAATTAAGAAAAGTTTTATTATTACAGTTGCTGTTTTTTTAAATAACTTTAAGATAACTTTAAAGTACTCTCCGAACCAAGAAGTTTTAATTAAAACTACTAAACAACATTCATATACTTTTACCGTGTTTTGTGGCATTCTTTGGGGGAGGCCTATGTTCAGCAGTGGACTTGTGAAGGGCTGTAATGATGATGAATGATGATGAACCGTATTATGTCTCCGTCACCATCACACACTGGTGTAACTTGAAGTTCATAATTACATGATAACATCAAAGTATGAAAACCAATAATACATAATTATTAAATACACAGACCACAATATGGCATTAACAAATAAAAGAAATAGAATAATATAGTAGCAAAATAAACAGATTACTTAGCTTAAGTCTTTCGGTCCAATAAAATAGGTTACTTAGTTGAAGAGCCTTTCAGTCTTATAGTTCTGAATTTACAAACTAGCAGAGTTACCCCTTTGTTAATTTGGTGGCAGTTACAAAACAACTAACTGATCTATTCATCACAGTAGCCTTACATACAATTCTAATGATTTCTAACATTAAAGTTTTTATACTATTTGGAATAATAAAGTTCAATCTACTGTATTATTCTAAATATTATAAACACTGCATGATAAATGATGAAATAATCGTTAATCAATATTTCAACGAGAAACAACTGATAATAATTGTTTGTGCACATTTTCTGCCTTTTTCTGTTTTTTTTTTAATGTGTGTTACCTCATAAGTTTTTACTGGGTGAACCGATATCGATGATTCTTTTTTCAATAGTTTTTGAGTTATTCTTAATAATTTATATTGAAGTCGGCTGTACAAAATTTTAAATTTTAAATTATATAACATTAATGTTAGGTTCGCCGGAAGCTGACAAGCGGACGTCGTCAGTCGTTATTATTTAAATGTCAATTATTTATTTTTATTAAATTATCTTACAAATCCAATAAATGTCAGTAACTACTTAAGTAATTAGTTAGTACTTAATTATTCGATAAGCTAGTGAACCAAGAACCAGAAGTAGATAACATTATACAAACATTATATATATCGTAAGGACTAAGTCTTGTTTTGAGGGTAGGTAGTGAAAAAGAATGTATCAATATTTTTTTTATTAAAATTATATATATATATACATTTAATATATATTAATAATTACTACCCATCTTACTACCTACCTACCCATCTTGTATCTCACTGATATTCTGTGACATACCCAGGTTTGGGTATATTTCAGCACTGACCCGCGATTAACTTGAGATCATCCATACAGAAAAGGTGGGTAGCTTTAGTCTCTCCTTTCCAAAGCTGAAATGCTGAAATCCAATAAAGTATTGTGGTAGAATCAGCTGATCCTAGAAATACCAGTGATGATATAATAAAACAGGTAAAGAATGACATTAATATAATTGATTTAAGTATAGGAATAAGCAATATAAAGAAAGCAAAAAATCAGAAAGTGGTTATAAGTTGCGAAACAGAAGTCGACAGAAAGATTCTACATGAGAAACTGAAAAATACCACAAACAAACTGACTGTACAGAAACTTCCCACCAAAATTCCTCTGTTGAGACTAATCGGAGTAGCAATGGACCTAAGTAATAATAAAATTGAAATTGATACGCAAAAAACTTGACAAAATAACTAGAATGTTTAACATCATGATCAGCATAGCGCATCGTACATCCTCATTGATCTCCAGCGCAGCCTTAGCGAGAATTATAACTCTAGATTTAAGAGCACAAGAACAAAAAGAGCTATATCTTATAAAAAGAGGTAAACCACTAATCCATCTACCTGGCAGAATGATAGCAAAACCCATAACACTTCCACACCCGGCAGAACGCGCCCGAGAATCATATGACCTAATATGCACCCAAGAATATGTAAACATGATACAAAACAACTGGCCTACAATATATACAGACGGTAGCAAGATTTCGGGAATGGTTGGAGCTGCAGTAAGCTGTTGGAAGGACGGAAAAGAGGTCTACAAACAAATCTAAAATTAAGCAATTACTGCAGTGTTTATCAGGCAGAACTTGCTGCCATCCTCAAAGCACTAACTTTTATAAGAAGCAAAAGTGAATTTAATAAAGCGAACATACTAAGTGACTCTCGATCGGCTCTAGAATGCCTTTCTAATCCAAGCACAGTCCATCCCTTAGCAGCTGAAATATTGACCAAAATTAATGAAATTCGAAACAATCAGGGCGATGTAAAACTGTATTGGATTAAGGCCCATTGTGGCATCTCGGTAAATGAAAGAGCAGATGAATTGGCTAAGTCAGCAGCAGAAACGTCCAAACAAGCACCAGTCTATGATTGCTTCCCGCTGTCCTACGCAAAGCGCCAATTCAGGGACAACACAATAAATACATGGCAAGAACGATATAAGAAGGCCGAAATAGGAGCTGTGACAAGAATATTCTTTCCGGATGTAACAGAAGCTTATAAAACAATTGGAAAAATTAATTTCAATAACTTAATATCACAAATATTGACAGGTCATGGAGGTTTTAAAGCCTATCTATTTAGATTCTAACTGGCGGAAAGACCCTACTGCAGTTGTGATAACCAGACTTCACAAACAATCGAACATATTATTATAGACTGTCCTAAATTTCAATTAGCAAGACTGGAATGTGAACTGCGTATGGGCTTTGTGCTACAAGAAGAAACTCTAAACAAAGCTATTAACAAAAATTACAGCCGACCTCACTTTCGTAAATTAGCAATAAGTAGTGTAGGAAAAATTGTTAAAGAAAATAAGATATAATAAATATTAGAATAAGTACGTTTAAGAAGTTAGTCACAGT